ATATTAGGTTGTTTTATTAATCCTATGAATTTAGTAAAATGATCTTCAAATAACTGGGAAACATAAAAACCACAATTTTTTTCTCTTTTAGTCTGCCTGACTGTCAGAAACAGACAGCACAGTTTTAACACTTTAGAAATCAAGTTAAGGATTTTTTTAGCTTTCACAGCTGAATGCTGTCAGTCTGGTGTAGCAAAGCTGATGAGGGGAAAAATAAGTTACCTGTTAGTAAGTATCTTGTCTCTCTCGCTGGTTTCCTCTCCTTCATCTTTGGACTGGCCTCTGGACCCATGAGTGCGATGTCTCCTCCTCTCTCCGTTGGCTCTGCTGTCTCCTCTGGTACTTCGGTCACTGTCCCTGTTAGATCCATCTTTTCGGTGGGGTCTCCGCTCTCCCGCTCCTCCACTGCTCACTGTTCCATTCCCCCCTCTGGACTGTCGATGAGAATGATGACGATGGTGCTCTTTCTCACTTGTGATAGCCACACCTGCRCTCTCATCTACTGACGTCTGATGATGATGATGTCTCCTTCCGCCTTCTCTGCTGCGGGACCTCTCGCCTCTCCCCTCTTTGACTCGACTGGAGTCGTGGTCTTTGGAGCGGCTGTGGTGAACGTGGTGCCTCCGCTCCTTGCTGCCGTCACAGTTGTCGTTGGTCTTGTCGTTTACTTTGGTCCGATCTCTGTCTCGGTGGCGGTGGTGGTGGCGAGGATGGTGAGAAGTGGGAGGTGGCTCAGCGGTGGTCTCGGCGTCCTCTGAAGTGCAGGCCTTGTGACAGTGATGCTGATGGCCACCCAGCAGAGGCCCATCACAGTGGCCAACAACCAGGGGCCGATCGAGGTGGGTCTTCATGTCGGGGCGGATGTGGAGGTCTGAGGGCAGGCCGACGGACTCGTCCGGCTCGTACAGAGCCTCGCAGCTCGCTCGGTTCTGCCTCCGCAGCTGGCTGGCTTTCTGCTCCCACATTGACATAGCTTTCATGGGTCTCTGCTGCTCTTTACTGCAAAAAGACAAACAAGACAAAAGATGGAGTTCAGACCACAGAAAGAAAAGTTAAAGAGCCCTCTCTGAGGCCTAACCTTGTCAGGGTCACAGCTTTGCCAAAGGTTTGTCACATCTGCAACGTGTAGACAGAAAGCTTTGTCATGAGAACAATGACTCCCTTTATGAGGCTGAGAGGCAAATAAAACAGCTTTCACCATTTAATGACACTTAAAGCTATGTTTACATGCACAAAATTTTGTGATGGGATTGAAATGTATTCGAATTAAATATTCAGAATGTGTCGTTTACATGAGTATAAAATGAATGAATCTGTTCATGACGAGTGTTTCCAAGCACCAGGCTTTTATTCAGAATAGTACTGATAGAAGCGTAAACTTTTACTAAAAAACCACAGAAGAAGAAGTTCTACTTCTGTAATGAACATAAACGTTCAAATGTGTCTTCTGAGCGCACAGAATGGAGCAGGTTTATTAACGAGGAGATGTTACTGCCCCCACGATCGAGCTACAGGCACTGCAACATGTGCTTTTTTATTTTTAGTTAATTATTTTTGTGGCAAAGCAACGTTTGCTGTCTGGGAGTGGGAGGAAATAAACATCTTTGAAAGTTCTGTGCTGCAGTCAGGTCAGTTTTTCACAATCAGAACATGATCAGAATGTGTTTCCATGCATAAACCAGCCCTCTCATTCCAACTGAGCTGAATCACATCAGAATATTCAGATCAGAATGTTTACATGACATAATTTATTCTGACTGGTTGTTTATTCTGATTACTTATGTCCATAAACATAGCTATAGACCCTCTATGCTGAATGATTCAGTTTGATCAAGATGCTTTAGACATGATAAAGAACCATTCATCACAGAATGCCGTGGAAAGAGCTGATCATGGTTACACCTGAACAAAAGCCAAGTATGGCTCCATTACCATGCTTTGACATCCATTCATTTATAATGTTTGTGTGTGTGGACATGTTTTTGCTACATCGTAGGGACTATTTTCCAGACAAACAAAGCCTCACCAAAGCCTGGTCCCCACATGTATGCATGCTGGTTTTGGTTTGGTTTGGGGGTTAGGAATAAGGTGTGAATTGAGTTTAAGTTAAAGTTCCTGGGTGGGATTGTAAGTCCTCGGGTCTGCCGGAGTTTCCTGAGCCCATGCCGGCCTCTGCTGCAGATGAGACCTCCACACCGGCCACTGCAGATTCAGCAGAGCTCTCACTGCAGCCCTAACTGAGTTCTCATCACCTTCTGCAGCCCTGGAGCTCTCATCACCGGCCTCGCCAGAGCCTCCAGAATCGGCATCTCCAGAGCTTCTCCATTGCCGTGGCCGGGCCCCTGGCCGTCCTCCAGAGATCAAACTCCTCTGTTGCTGGGCTGCGGGTCATCCTCCAGAGCTCCGCCTTCAACACGGCCGTGTCATAGTTTAGTTTTTGGTTTCTGTTTTTTGTACTATGGTTAGGTTTTTTTAGGTCCTGTTTTGGTTTTTGTTCATGTGGGTTTTCTGTTTGAGTTCCTTTTTGTCTCAGGTGTGTTAAGTTTCTGTGATTAGTGTTGCTTTCGTTTCCTCAGGTGTTTTCTGTTACCTCATTAGTTTTCCTGTGTATTTAAGCACTATCTTTTCTCTGTGTCATTATGGAATCATTGTTTTGTCAACTCCATGTCTCCTGTGCTCATGTTCCTTGTACCCTTGTCATTTAAGTAAGTTTTTGCTGTATTTTCAGCCCTCCTTAAGTTATATTAAGGACCTTGTGATTTTGATTTTTTGAACTCTCCTGCGCTCTGGATTATTGCCACACCACACTTGACAGGCCGGGCCCACAGCCAACCTCCAGAGCTCCGCCTTCGACACGACCGGGCACACGGCCGACCTCCTGAGCTCTACCTCCGCTGTGGTCGGGCCCCTGGCCGACCACTTGAACTCTCTCCTCGCCATGGCTGTTTCTCGGGCCACCCTTCAGAGCTCCTCTCTCGCCATGGCCGGGTCCCGGGTCACCCTCCTGAAATCCTGCCTGTGTTGGGCACCCTCCTGAACTTTCTGCTCCCTTCAGATGTGCCTAGGGCCATCTTAGTGACTGTTTTTTGGTTTTGTTTTTCTCCCAGGGGTTCCCTGTCAGTTTTTGGTTTTGTTTTTTCTGATTTTCTTTGTTCCTTGTCTTTTCTTGTGTCTCGTGTTTCCTGTTGTCTCTGTTCCTTGCCCACCACCCTGTGTTGCTGTAACCCCCTTCGCCCTCCTGTGTTTGTGTTAATCGTCAGGTGACAATTCGTTGAGGGGGAGGTACTGTAATAAATAAGTTTTATTTAGTTCTTCGTGTCTGTCCTTGGGTCCTATCTCGCCTTTGACCTTAACAATTTTACAGGACTATAAAAGAACTTTCTCTTTCAAAAATAATAAATCATTGTGGAAAAAGACATTACCAAATATGAATCCTCTTTACCTGGGGTGTCTAATTCTGGTCCTAAAGGACCCCTATCCTGCAGGTCTTAGAGTTTTATTTTCCTCCAACACACCTGATTTGAATGAATAACAACTGCAGGTAAAACCTGAAGTGGTGATTCAAGTCAAACCTGCAGGACAGAGACCCTCCTAGACCAGGATCAGACCTCCTCTGCTCTACACTTTAGTGTTAGACCATTTGTTTATGTTGTGGGTGTTTCTTCTTCTAGACAATGTATGTTGCCTCACAAATGTATGTGAGCTGCTGGTGTAGATTCAGTCATCCAGAACATACAACAGAATCTACCCTCCCCACGCCCCAAAAAATAAAATAAATTAAACTCAAGTTTTATTCAGAAAATATTTTGTTCCTCATCCAGAGAGTTGTCTCAGCTCCAACAACTAAAGTGTGCAGAGTTGTGAGAGTGTGAGATGCTTCATCATGTAAGTTAGGATTTACCTGCAGGCTGGGCTGGCTAAGACCAGAACCCCCAAACCCAGACTGAGCTGTGTGGTGTCTGCAAGTCAGTGCAGTGAGGACTGTTCAGACCTCTACCTTTCCAGCAAAAATCATTTGATATCATTTGATCTCCATTGCCATAAGACTGTCCTGAGTGACTTTGAAGTCTGTAAGTTAAAAACTGTAGGACAAGTTCGCACAGATACCTGTACAAAAAAAGAGACAAAATGGCAGCTTTGATCCAAGATGGCCAACTTCCTTTGGCGTTTGGACCATGGCTCCAAGAGACTTTTTGTAGGTCCTGATACATTACACATGTGTGCTGAATTTCACAACTGTCAGTCAAAGCATGGCTTGGGGCTGATTTTTTAAAATATTGTAGGGGGCGCTATGGAGTAATTAGGCCAGACCCACCAAATCTTACATTGCCTTACTGTTGGGGGCGGATTAGGATTGATCCCAGGCAATTTGGTGCACATTGGCTGAAATATGTAGAATTTAGAATATAGAGCCAAACGTATTGCAACGGCGTGACGTCTGACTTCGCCACACCGCCACGACCATGCCTTACAGTGAAAAGTCTTGGTGTATAGGAAGACCGAAAACCCCTAAAACCTCCAAAAACCACTATAAACTAGTCAAAAGAGGCACAGAAGGATTGAAAACCATTTAAAACCTAAAAAAATAATAATAAAACAGTCAAAAGGGGCTTAGGAGTTGAATTGTCTTTACGTACAGACAGAAGTCCAGTTGCTTTATTTCTGTAAAAAAAACTTATGATAGATAAGTCTCTCCTGTCATGGTCTGAGTTTATTTTGCTTTGTTTATCCTAGTGTTTCAGTGTTCCTTTGAGTTCCTCTGTGCAGCTGCCCCGCCTCTGCACACCTGATTGCCCTTGTGTTCCTCCCAGGTGTTTCTAGTTTGCCCTCATTAGTTTACCTTTATATTTGGTGTCCTGTCTTCAGTCCTTTGTTCTGATCATTGTACTGTGTTGTCAATCTGTTCGGTCCCTAAGAGAGTTTTGAAGTCCTAAGTTATGCTACGTGAATGTAAGTGTTTTTGAGCTGCTTGTCAGCCTCATTTTGTTATTAAAACCTTTTCTCGAGTACTTTGAGTGTCTGTGCCCTGGGGTACCTTTTTAAGTCTGGATCGTGTCAGAATGATCAGACCAAACACCCAGCCCATAGACAGATATATTTTCTCCCCACTAACGGATGACTGTGACCCGTCCACTGGTTTCCCCACAACCGGTTTTTCCTCAGCTGCTTTGGGGGAGCCGGTCCCATGCTTGCCGCCGGAGGAGCTCCGGATCACTCACGCCCTGATCAGAGGGGCTTTGATGATGCTCCGGTGGTCTCCCACCCCTACCACCAGGCTTATGATCTGCCGTCAAGTTGTGAGGGTCCTGTCGGCACGTCTGGAGCTACTGAGGTACCCTGGCCACCAGAAACTCTCTGCCTTCGCATGGAGGGTCCTGGCTGAGGACTCCGTTGCCCACCCACCCACCCCTGCTGTTGTTCCAGGATCTGGTTTGTCTGCTGAGTCGTCCAAAGATCCGGAGTTGGTGGTTCGACAGCCTGTGGTCTCGGCGGTTCCACAGTCAGTGGTTCTGCAGCTGGTGGTCCCGGAGTCATGGGTCTTGGTGGTTCCTCAATCGGGGGTGCCGGTGGTCCCGGAGTTGGTGGTCCCGGTTCCACAGTCGTGGTTCCGGCAGTTCCAGTCCCGGTGGTCCCGGAGTCGATGGTTCCACAGTCGGTGGTTCCAGTTCCGGTGGTCTCAGTGGTTCCACAGGTGGCTGTCTCAGTGGTTCCACAGTTGGTGGTTCCACAGGTGGAGGTTCCGGTCATTCCTGAGATGGTGGTCTCAGTGGTTCCACAGACGGTAGTTCCATAGCTGGTGGTTCCGGAGTTTGAGATCCCAGTGGTTCCACAGTCGGTGGTTCCACAGCTGCAGGTCTCGGTGGTCCCAGAGTCGGAGGTCTTGGTAGTCCTGGTGGTTTGTGAGTCGACCGTCTTCACCTCATCTTCGCCTGGGTCGTCGTTCCTCGCCTCATCTTCGCCTGGGTCGTCGTTCCTCGCCTCCTCTTCACCTGGGTCATCGCCCATCGCCTCCTCTTCGCCTGGTTTGTCGCCCGTTGCCTCCATGTCGCCTGGGTCATCAGATGTCCCCTCTTCGTCGCCTCTGTCGCCTGTGCTTGCCGTCGCCAAGGCTCCTGTTTCAGCAATCTCCGCCGTCTTTTCATCGCCTCCCCCTTCCTCCCTTGGCTCAATGTCTGCTCTCACCTCCTCCCTTGGCTCCACGTCTGCTCTCGCCTCCTCCCTTGGCTCCACGTCTGCTCTCGCCTCCTCCCTTGGCTCCACGTCTGCTCTCGCCTCCTCCCTTGGCTCCACGTCTGCTCTTGCCTCCTCCCTTGGCTCCACGTCTGCTCTTGCCTCCTCCCTTGGCTCCACATCTGCTCTCGCCTCCTCCCTTGGCTCCACATCTGCTCTCGCCTCCTCCTGGGGCTCAACGTCTGCTCTCGCCTCCTCCTGGGGCTCAACGTCTGCTTCTGCGGGGCTTCGCTGTGAGTGGTTCCCTGGTCAACCCCCAGGACTTTTGCTTCGTCTGGGAGGTTCCCTGGTCGGCCCCCAGAACTTTTGTTTCATCTGGGAAGGTTCCCTGGTCAGCCCCCAGAACTCTTGCCACAGCTGGAGGGGTCTCTCGACCCCCAGGACTTTATGTGTTTTTGTCTTTGAGTCTATGTTGTCACGTGTTTCCCTCAGTTTTGTCTAGCTCCTCTTGGCGACGTCAGGAGCCGTCGTTAAGGGGAGGGTCCTGTCATGGTCTGAGTTTATTTTGCTTTGTTTATCCTAGTGTTTCAGTGTTCCCTTGTGTTCCTCTGTGCAGCTGCCCCACCTCTGCACACCTGATTGCCCCTGTGTTTCTCCCAGGTGTTTCTAATTTGCCCTCATTAGTTTACCTATAAAGGTAAATATAAATATAAAGGCAAATATAAATTTGGTGTCCTGTCTTCAGTCCTTTGTTCTGATCATTGTACTGTGTTGTCAGTCTGTTCGGTCCCTAAGAGAGTTTTGAAGTCCTAAGTTATGCTATGTGAATGTAAGTGTTTTTGAGCACTTGTCAGCCTCTTTTTATTAAAACCTTTTTTCGAGTACTTTAAGTGTCTGTGCCCTGGGTTACATTTTTAAGTCTGGATCATGTCATCTGCTGGTCTGATCAGTACATCTAGTCAGTTTAAACCTTTGCTCAGGTCTTAGTGGACTGATGAATCAGAACTATACAGATTTACAGAAATCATTTCAGTGGGTTTAAGTTATAAACCTGAAAAACAATAAACAGGTTCTCATTTGGCTAGCCATTAGCTTAGCCTTCATTCTGTGCTCTGATGTCAATGTTCCTACTAACCATTGATAATTTGACAGAACATCACTTTAAAAATGACCAGACTATCCCTTTAGAGAGGCAGAGGTCAGTCTTTTAACTATACAATAATAAATGTGTGTTTTTGGTAGCATTGTGCAGGAGTAACCCTTGCTTACCAAACAAACACTATTAAAAGCTAAGTAAAGAGGTCCAGCAGTCGATTAGTTCTTCATGGACAGATGGGATCAAACAGGTGTGGATGATAAAAATGCAGAGCAGCTCAGTCAGTCTTGGTTTGAAGAATTCAAACAATGAAACGATGATCATGTGTGACTGTTTGGATGATCATCAGCATACGGGCTTACTGCGAGGCAGCTGGGTGTTTACCTCAGGTAGTGATGGACTGGGGTGCAGACATAACTCCTACAGTACAAACACATAAAGGAGCAACATTGAAACACAAGCAGCAGGAAAAGGAACAGAAGAGGTTACACATAGAGGGTCAAATCAAGTTTCAGTAAAAAAAAAAAGTGCACAGATAAGGCTGAACTTAAAGGTGACAGGAAGCAGATCCAGTTTTACAGCCTGGAATTTACAACAGGTTGTATGTGTTAATTTATCATTTACACAACATAACCAGAGGATGAGGCAGCAATCAGAGCAAAAGACAAAATTTGTTTCTTATTTTTCCACACAGTCTCTGCAGGTCATTTGGTCAGAGCCACTTCCTTTTTGTTCTGACTGCAGCTGGAAGACGTCTCTGATCCCTCAGAGCACACTCACAGCTGTTTACCATGTTTTATCTATGTGTGATCTATATGTTCAAATCTATCCTGGGTCAGGTTAAAGCACCCGAACAATAAATTTTCACAGACACAAACAGCACAAAGTGCATGAAACTAAAAACAATAAAACTGTCAACAAATATCATGAGGAACAATTTAAAAAACAGACAACAAAACTTAATTCAAAGTCTGAATAAAAATGCTAAATAAACAGTTATTACCTGACTCACAGGTTTTCAAAGTGTTCAGAGAGCAAACAAACCACCACCACCCCAAAAATACATATCTATTAGATAAAATTTACTAAAATGTTCCCTGATTTGTTTGTTTTAAACAGATCTTGTCTTTGGAAAGCCACCTCTAGAATTACAAACACTAAACTGTCATTTAGCTGTTTTAACATGTTCATATTTCAAACCACACAACAGTGGAGTCCTGTGACTCACACTTGGAAGAGAAGAACATCCACAAACATTGAGATGTTTAGGAAACTCTCACTGTACAACCTGTCACAAACTAACTCAGTGCAGACAGAGCCAGATGAGGGTATACTAGAGACATTTTGCAAATGGAAAAAAAGGAGTAAATCTAAATAAATAAATAAAAACTCGGAATGATGAGATTAAGGTCAGAAATTTTCAAGACCAAAAATTGGAAATGACGTTATGTAGAAAAGAAAAATGCTCTTTATTTAAATTAAATATTTTCTGAAATTGTAATGTCTTGACTCTTTAATCGTCTTCAGTTTAAAACTACTGTTCACACTTCAAACTGTAGCAATTTGAGTTTTTCACCAGCAGTTTCCTGGTTGGCCAAGGCGTTAATCAGCGCAGCTGCAGCTGATCYCCTGATGAGCACCTGAGGGCTTTATAAGA